GAATTCGAGCCTCAGTGGAGTGGCCCCCGAGCTGCTCTCCAGGTGAGGACACCCAAGATCAGGGCCAGTGCTCCTCACTGCTGGCCCCCTGCCTTCCAGGTCATTCCTGCACAGGGACGCCCACCATGGCCTCAGACCACCAGACCCAAGCGGGCAAGCAACAGCCCCTCAACCCCAAGGTAAGTCCCTCAGAGGGTGGGCAGGCCAGCACTGTACTTCTCAGTTTGCCTTTCTGTAAAATGGGTTGGCACTTTCCATCCTGGGCTTCCCCTCCTGGCCCTTCTGCCTCTCTTGGCCTCTGCCTTCCCCTGAAGGGGTGGATTCGAAGGCCATAACCGAAATATCCAGGTAATGCCCACCAACTTCTGGCATCAGTGCCTGCAGGCTGACTGCCCCTCACTTTATTATCCATGGGAGCTACCCAGCTGCAGCCCGAGGTAGGGTGATGAATGAGGCAGGAGATATATCCAGATCAACACCTGTGAGGCTGCCAGACTTAGAAAAAAACCCTTGACCTTGCCCTTCATAAGACAGAGAGTCAAGGGACTTCCACCACAGGGAGGTGGTGATGGGGCAAAGAAACGGGGCCCTGCCCAGCATCTGACTCAAGGTGTGTGTGCCCTGGAGTGGGCGTTTCATCCTCGGCAGACTGACTTCCTAGAGGACCTGCTGTAAGACGGTAACCATAGATCAGATTTCCAGAGGTGAGAAGGTGCACCCAGCGCAGCAGTCAGGGAAGTCTTCTCGGAGGAGGTGGTATCTGAGCAGAGACCTGGGTCCCATGAGGGAACAGTTATGTGCGAATTGGCTTGGGGATGGGGAGGGTATCAAAGCAGATGGAACAGCAAGTGAGAAGGCCCTGCTGTGAGGACCAGGGGGGTGAGGGACAGCACGAGGCTCAGTGTGGGGCCTTAGAGTCATTGAAAATGTTCTGGGATCCAATATCAAAAAGGAAAAGGAAACCGATAAGATTAGTTTTCCTGTTGTGTTGTGTGAAACCCCTTATATACAAAATCTGAGCATTTTAACCTGCAGTCCTTGTTAGCGGCCATTGAATCAACTCGGACAGGCAGCCACCCGATTGGACAACAGACCAAAGCCCTGCCCGATTCATGTACCCTCCTGACAACGTACTTATGGGGATGATTTTTTTCCAAGCCAACTCTTAAAATTCAGATGTGCATTTTACATAGTTAAGTGCCATCGAGTTGAGCCCGACTCCTGGTATCTCCGTGTACATCCAGAGCGCGTATGTTGGTTTTATTGGACACTGTTGAGTCCAGCACAGTTTACAGCGATGAGCAACAGACCTGAACGCCTTGTGCCTTCCTCATCATCTCTGACTCATTCGAGCCCGTTGCTGGTTCCACTGTCAGTCTGTCTCGTCCGGGGTCTTCCTCTCCTTCGCTGACCCTCCGTCTTTCCAAGCATGATGTCTCTTTGCAAGGAATAGCCTCTCTTAGCTACGCGTCCAGAAGGCACGTGGGGAATATGCATCTTCACGTGCGAGAGATTGCAGCACTGTCTTGCTCTGTGCCGTCCTCACAGGCGCTACTGCACTTGAGAGCCCAGTGCTGCAGTCACCCTGTGAGTCCATCTCGCCAAGCATCTTTCTCTTGTTCATACATTTTCTTTTAAATTTATTACATATTGGCATATAGGAGAGTTGTGGTGGTGGTGGTATGTCTTTGAGTGGGAAATGACCCGTAGCTGACCTTCCAGAAGGTTTTCTGAGACAGTAAATCACACAGGAGGAGTTTTCCCATCCTTCTCTCATGGAGCAGCTGGTGGATTTGAACCTTGTGACTTGGGGATTGCAGAGCAGTTTCTTACCACTAGGCCACCAGAGCTTCCTTTGTTCATGCATCTTAATCTGAGCTACTTGGATATACGCAACGGCCATTTGTAGCTAATGCCCACCATATCCGACCGCCAGCTACCATTGAGTCGATTCTGACTCTTACTGACCCTCCATCCGGTTTCTGGAGGCTCTAAATCCTTACAGGAGGAGGACTGCCCATCTTTCTCCCAAAGAGCAGCTGGGGGAGGGATTGTATAACAATTAAAGAACTTTTCTTTTACTTTTCAAAACGAAGGCTGCATAGCGGAGTGGACCTGGGGGGAGGGATTGTATAACAGTGAAAGGACTTTTACTTTTTCAAAGAGAATAAACTGGGGCGGGGGGGAGGACGATGAGGTTGGGCAGGGAAAAAACGCAACAATGAATAAATGGAAATCCAAAGTCTCTGTAAACTTCCATTAAAATTAATTAATAATTTTTTTTTAAAAAAACAACGAGCAGCTGGTAGATGTGAGCTGTGGACTGTCTCAGACAGTGCACGATTAAAGGATTACGTAGCATGTGTACAATTTTCCAACCATCAATAGAATAGGAAGAAAGACCTGGCAACCTAATTCTGACATTAACCAATGAAGCAGACTGAGCAGGTAATGTTTCACGTCAGCACGAGTTGTAGTCAACTTGATGGCCTCTAGCCAGGGAGAGTTTTAACTTTCATTCTGTGTTAATATCAATGGCAACAGCCATAATAATAATAATAATAATAATAATAATAATAATAATAATAATAATAATATTGAGCACCTGAGTCTCTGAGGCTTCCAACCGCCTGGAGAGGCTGACCTTGCCTTCTGTAGCCCTATAATAATCCTCGTCTGTCAAGACGAGGCTCTCACTTCCAACCTCGTGACCTTCCACAATAACCTTGCAACAGAGGTGGGCGGCCCATTTTACAGACCAAGAGATTGAGGCTCTGAAGAATCAAGTCACTTCCTAGCGTGACGCAGCTGGATGCAGCTGGGGAAGTGACAGAGCCCTGGGCTGTCTGCTGACCTCATCGGTGGCTTGGTCACTGACCACGAGGACCGCATTGAGCCCCTGGGATTTGTCGCTGAGCCCCAGTGAATCTGTCCCTGCCTTTGTCTGGCTAATCCGCAGCCTGGGAGAGAAGGAGATGTTTACCCAGCCCAGTGCTGACCATGTGGGTTCTGTGTTCATTCCAGAGAGGTAGGTCCTTGCTGTCAGTGGTTGCAAAACCTCGGCTGGATATTCCCGCTGGATTCAGAAGGTGGCCAGACTCTCAGACGGCTCTTGGCCATGACCTTAAGTGAATCTTGTCATTCAGCTGGGTGTCAGGGCCCTGATGGGAATCCTGCCAGGTCCTCAGTGTACGTTTATGAGAAGACCAGAGGCTTGACTCCTCTTACAAAACATCTCAAGGCTCGGGGGAGCTCTGGTGGCCTAGTGGCAAGGTGCTGCAACTGCAGTCCCAGAGGCACACAGTTCGAATCCACCAGATGCTCTGCTGGGGAAAGAGGGGCAATCTCCTCCTGTACCAGTCAGATCTGATTTGACAGTACACGCACACAAAAATAACAAAATTTTAAAAAAAAAATCTCAAGGCTGAGGCCATGGGGGCTTAAGAAAGGGCATGGTGTTATGGAAGATGTCAGGGTAAGGCATGTGTATGAGGGGCACTGGCTCTGTTCTACCCTGCTCAGAAGCCCCTCAGAAAGTGTAGTCTAGCACATTTCTGGTCCTCACATGCTCCGTGGCAGCTTTGACGGTCCCTGAGAGCTGTTAAAAGCTCAACGTTTGGGGCTGCACCCTAAGAAACAGAATTTTCTTACTATCCCAGCTGCCAGAATTTGAACTGTGCTGATCAGAGGCAAACAGCCTCAAGGCAGCTTCGCCACTGAACACTTGGGAGAGGCAGACCCTCAACAAGACAAATGGACACAGTGACTGTCACGATGGGTCTCCAGAGATGCTGAGGGTGGTGTTGGAGAGGGCAAGGCTCTCCTCTGTTGTTCTTAGGGGCCGTTGTGAGTCTTAGTTGATTGGATGACACATCACAATAACAACAACAAAAGAAGTAATCATATCCTTCTGACACCAGGAGCAAATATTATGTATTCACCCTTTTGCTCCCAAGTCCTTCTAACATCCTGGTGAGGGAGGTACAGCCTTTATGTCCCATTTTACAGATGGTGAAATCAACACTGAAGAGCTCACCACTGGTGCATTGCGCCATCACACCGGCCGCCTGACTGTTGGGTTTGTCACTGGGAAGGGTTAGCGCCCTTCAGTGTTAACCGGGGCCCCTCCAGCTCCATGACCCTACTCATCAGTATGAGAATGACACTCCCCTTCTTTTTCAGATCATCATCTTTGAGCAGGAAAACTTCCAAGGCCGCTCTCATGAGCTCAATGGGCCCTGCCCCAACCTGAGGGAGACTGGCGTGGAGAAGGCCGGCTCGGTCCTGGTGCAGGCTGGACCGTGCGTACCTGGGATCACGGGCTGGACAGGAAGGGGCTGCTGGGCTTAGTCCGAGGGTCTGCCCTCACTCTGCTTTTCTGGCTGTGGAATCAGGGAACCAGGCTTTGGGGATGGCCAGAGCGTGGGCTTTGTGAGTCAGATTGAGCCTGGTGGGTTTTAAAGCTAAGCTCTACTCCTTGCTGGGTAGGAAGCTCTGGTGGCTTAGTAGTAAGAAGTTGCACTGCTAAACCAGAGGCAGGAGGTTCAGATCCACCAGCTGCTTCATGGGAGGAAGATGGACAGTCTCCTCCTGTGTGATTTACAGCCTCAGACACACAGCTGTGAGTCTGTTCTGACTTGACAGCACATAACAGAAACAGCAACTTCTTGGGTAGGGAGCTCTAGTGGCGTAATTTTCAGGGAATTGTTGCCAAAGGCAGTCACTCTGGCAGTTCGAATCCCACCAGCCACTTTCCAGGAGAAAGATGGGCAATGTTACTCCTGTGTAATTAATAGCCAAAGAAACCCACTGGGCGGGGTGGGGGGGCAGATGTGCATCAGTTCTGACTTGATGGCCAGGAACGTCCCTCTCTGAGCCTCAGTTTCCTTCAGTGCAGCATGAAGGTGACCCCACCTACCTGAGGGTGCAGAGTGGGAGCTCACAGCTTTGGGGCACATGCTCCCCACTTCTGTATTTGTTGTGGCTGGAAGCCAGCCAAGCCCCAGAGTTCTGTGTTCTGTGTGAGGGGTCCAGCTGTGGCATCACTGTTGAATTCAGAGGTGCCTGTGTGTCCTCAGCAGGAGTTAAGGTGGCGCAGTGCTTAAATGCATAGCTGCTAACCAGAAGGTCAGCAGTTTGAATCCACCAGACTCTGCAGGAGAAAAATGTGATACTGCGCTTCTGTAAGAATCTACAGGCTTGGGACACCTCTGGGCAGACCCACTCTGTTCTATAGGGTCACTATGAATCAGAATCAGCTAGATAGCCGTGGGCTAGATCCTTGGGAGGGGCTGTGATGATGCAGTGGTTAAGCACTTGCCCATGAACTGAGCTCGGAGACTCAAGCGCATTGGTTGCTTCTGTAAAGATTCACTCACCACTTTCATTGCCATCTAGAAATTCTATGTTGTTGTTGTTGCGTACCGTTGAATTGGAGCTGACTCGTAGCTGACCCGCCAGCGGGTTTTCAGAGAGAGTGACTCTTACGAGGAGAGATTGTCCATCCTTCTCCCAAAGAGCAGCTGGTGGCTTTGAACTGCTAGCCTTTGGAATTGCAGCACAGTGTTATTCTATCCCACAGGGTTGCAATGAGTAGGATTTTAGACTCAACAATGGGTAGTTTGTTGTGGTGTTTTTTTTTTTATTTTATTTTAAAAAGTGTACCCTTGTTAGGGCTGGAACGAGTCGCAGGAGCTGGGGGCCAACTTGACCTTCTGTCTCTCTGTTTACGTCTCGATCACAGCTGGGTGGGCTATGAACAAGCCAACTGCAAGGGCGAGCAGTTCGTGTTTGAGAAAGGCGAGTACCCTCGCTGGGACTCATGGACCAGCAGCCGCAGGACAGACGCCCTCAGCTCCCTGAGGCCCATCAAAGTGGTAAGTAAGCCCCCTCCTCCCACCTTCCTCTCCTCTCCTTGCTCCTTTGGCATCAGGGAACTGGGGACCAGGAAGAAGCTTCCCCTCTGGCCTCACCCCCCTTCTGATTGCAGTCCTTTCACATTACTGAGCCTCAGTTTCCTCGTCTGTAAGATGGGGCTGTTAATACCTCTTGCCTTAAGACTGTGTGTGCTTGGTCTGAGGCTACCACGTGGCACCATTCTAACCAATCAGGTGCTTTGGAGTTGGCATCAACTCCTGGCGACCCCACGTGTGCCGTGCGTCAGAGGAGACCCTGAACTCAGTGAGGTTTTTTCAATAGCTGACTTTTTTTAGGAGCAGAACACCAGGCCTTTCTTCTGAGGCACCTCTGGGTGGAAGTGAACACCCAGAAATGGGCCTGCTTAGCTCCTGAGTACATTAACCACCTGCACTACCCAGGATCACTAACAACAGTTGCAAATATTCAAAGACATTTGGAGTCGTGGAAGAAGGGGGATAGTCAGCTCTTATGTAGACCAGCGTGAGTTTGGGGATGCTTCTTTGATCTTGATTTTTGCTAGTGAGTGAACTTTGGGCCGGCAGAGGACCCAGCCATGCTCTGTCTTTCCCTTCTCCAAACCTCACAAGCCCGTGGGTAATCCTGCCTAGAACTTGCTCAACCCTGAAGGACATAGAACTTAGCATCCTATGACCTGGGTTCATACGTTGGCCCTGCTGCTCTCAGCTGGCTAGCCCTGAGCAGGTTCTTTTAGCTCTCTGAGCCTCAGTTTTTCTCTCTGTTAAATGGGATAAGGGATTGCCTAAATGATTAAACAAGTGAGAAGAATCTTGGGACACAGACCAGGAGGAGGATGATTTTAGGGGGCTGTGGGAGAAAAGTAGACCATCTTATGAACTTGCTGGAAGTTAGAGATGTGATCCAGTTCATTTCCACATAATGCCTGTGTGTGTGTGTGTGTGTGTGTGTGTGTGTGTGTGTGTGTGTGTGTGTAAGGGGGGAGAGAGAGAGAACGCGCGAAAGAGAGCATGTGCACGCATGCAGGTCAAGGCCACCCTCTTTAAGAGTGAAAATAGCAACAGTGAATGACTGGAAACCCTAAGTCTCTGTAAACTTTCATGAAAATTAATAAAAATTTTAAAAAGAGGGAAAATAGAGGTTCTAGACGGGTCCTTGGAGAGGGACATCGTGCTTGGGAGGGTGGAGGGACAGCGCAGGAGGGGAAGACCCTCTATGAGATGGATTGATTCGGTGACTGGGGTAATCGGGATGGGTGTGTCAGAGGCGGTGCGGTTGGCGCAGGATAGAGCAGGGTTTAGAGCTGTTGTGCATAGGGTCGCTATGAGTCGGAAACGACTCGATGGCACATAACAACAACATAACAACAAGGTGGAGAAATGACATTTTCAAATATTCCTTAAAGGGGAATAATCTAGGAACACGTGTTATGTGCAAAGGGCCCAGTAGGAATTGACCAAGTGTGACCACAGTTCCCTGGTGCTTAATGGGGATTCTGGAAGTGGGTGCATTGCATTGTGGGTGGGGTGGGCAGCCCTGAGTTTAAGGATTTGACTGGAAGGCCCACCTGGGCTCCTAACTCACCCTCAGGCTTGCCCCCCACAGGACAGCCAGGAGCACAAGATCATCCTCTACGAGAACCCCAACTTCACAGGGAAGAAGATGGAGATTATTGACGACGACGTACCCAGCTTCCACGCCCACGGCTACCAGGAGAAGGTGTCGTCCGTGCGGGTTCAGAGCGGCACGTGAGTACCCCACCCTGGCACACAGCTCTGGGGTCCTAGCTCCTGCCCTGCCCAGACTCACACTGGTGGTCTCCCACACGTCAGAACACTCTACAAAGTCCAGTGGAGAAGTGGCTTGGACACTATCAGCAAAAAGCTTCCCCCTGGAGCAGTTCTTGCCTGGGGAATAGGGGAACACAGGTCTTAGTGTCAGCCAAGGTGCTAGACAAGTCAGTGATGGAGGTGGCAGGCTGAGACAGAGGTGGGGTTGGGGGGAAGGTGAGAAAGGAATCAAATGGCTTTAACAAAACTTTGAGAGGCAGACTATTCAGCTGACTTGCCTGGAACTGTATGAGTTTCCGAGTTCTGCAACAGGAGGGCGCCCTTTTCAACAAACGGAATGCCATTGGCACGTAAGCCTTGAGGACTTTACACTGTGAAAATTCTGGGAATCCATACGTGGATTTTGGGAAGTGAGGTGCTAGGAAAATCTAGAGGGTAATAAATGGGTTTTAGGCAGTGGGGTGCTGGACCTGCTTTGACCAGCTGATAAACTGTCAGGGGCTACTCCATAGGGGAATGGTGCTGGTAACGCACCCAGAAGGCTGTGCCTGTATAGTGGTTTGAATCCTCCAGTGGTTCTGAAGGAGATGGAGGGACAATCTCTTCCTGGGCAAGTTACAGCCTCAGAAATCCAAAGGAGAGTCAGCTGTGGGTTGGTTCTGAGTCCCCAGCAATGAGAGAGAGAGAGAGAGAGAGATGGGGAGAGAGAGAGAGAGAGAGAGAGAGAGATGGGGAGAGCGCGCGAGAGAAAGAGAGATATTGAGATTGTTCAATTAACCAGCAGAGAGAGAGAGAGAAATTGTTCAATCACTGGTATCCTGAAGTCAGCCTTTGGGGAAGAACTTATACCATCGAAATTGCCAAATAGTGCCAATCTGGCACTTTGCCTCATCTGTCACCCACTTCTGCCCGCCCAACGCAGGGCAAGTTTACTAGCACCAACAGGCTCCTTCAGTGTTGCTGGACAAATATCTGTTTCTGTTCCAGCCTTTGCTTCTCTCCAATAGATAACTAGGAGTGAGGGACCCTGATGGCGTGGATTATAAACATGTGGGACTGCTAATGCAAACATCATCGGTTCGAATCCACCAGCAGCAGACCGGTGGACAGTCTCCTCCCCTAAAAAAAAAATAAGCTTTAGAGGGTAGTAAGCTCCCCATCAAGAGAAGGATTCCAGAGGTGTGATGCTCTCCCCCCCTCCCCGCTCAGTTCTGAGGGACATGATTTGGGCTCTGCTTTCCCTGATGGCTCCCCTTCTCAATCTCCATCTGTCTGTCCCCCTCCTGTCTGTCTCTCTCCACCTTTCCTCTCTGTCCCCGGCCCTGCAGGTGGGTTGGCTACCAGTACCCTGGCTACCGTGGGCTGCAGTATCTGCTGGAGAAGGGAGACTACAAGGACAGCAGTGACTTCGGGGCGCCCCACCCCCAAGTGCAATCTGTGCGCCGCATCCGTGACATGCAGTGGCACCAACGAGGCACCTTCCACCCTTCCAACTAGTCCCTCGACTCCCCCTTCCCAGGGGCAGGTCTGCTGCCCAGGATTCTTCCCCAGGATCCCTGGAGAATGAATAAAGTGTGACTCGCAACCTTTTGGCCACAGTGTTTTATATTCCCGGTGAGAGAGGGGCTGGTTTGTGCGTGCGCGAGCGTTAACATGTGTGCGTGTGCGTGCATGCGCGTCATGTCCAATTGTTGCTCATTGCCATGAAGCAGAACACGACTAATAGTGACCCTACGAACAAAAGACCTGAAGCCTTTCTATAACTATCATCGTTTCTCAGAGTTCAGAGAGTTTCTAGAGGCATGTTATTTAGGAAGTGGATGCCACTCCTGCTTCCAAACCTGTCTTAAACTGGGAGCCCACCAAACCCTATCCATCATGGTTAACCATTATGGCATTTGACACCCCAGTGGCACAAGATTCAGCATCACAGCAACCCCAGGTTACCTCAGTACAGCATATTGACAGAAGAGTGCTGTACCACTTAGAAGAATGTTACCCAAAATATAACAACAACCGACTTTTAAATACAAAGGCCCTTTGTATTGGAGTCTTGTTGACACTAAACAAGAGGCTTAAATAAAAAAACAACCAATACAATATGATGTTGTTGTTGTTGTTATGTGCCATTGACTCACCTCTGGCCTATAGCAAGCGACCCTACATAAAGCACCTCTGAACCCTGCCCTGTCCTGAGCCAGTCTCACTAATTCCGACACACCAACCCAGTTACTCTATTAAGTCCATTTAATCAGGGGTCTTCCTCTCTTGCACTGTCCCTCCACCCTTCCGAGCATGATGTCCTTCTCCAAGGATCGATCTCTCCT